TCAGACAAGTCAAGTATCACGCTACTTAGCAGCATCTGGAGCACTCCTTTGTGTTCTGGAGGTGGCTGGTGTACTCGACTCATTTTAAAAAATCAATAAAAATCACTTCCCCTTGCCCAGTGTTATGGCAGAGATACTGTTGCTGAAGAGATGTACTCTTCCTTCGAAACACATGTAAAAGCCAGTGCACTCCTGCTTCGGTAGAAACAAGAGCGCTTGGAGCAGGCATGTCTGTACGGCTCTCTGTGGTGGAGAGTGCTGGTGTGGTCACAGTGTTCCCTGCTGACTCCCTGTGGGGAGACGCAGGGGAGGAAGCACCCAGTGGGGAAAGGAGAAACCCTGTTTTGTTCAGACATATAGCTTTCTTTGCTTGGACTTTGTCTAGCAAAACTAGGCTGTGGATACAGATCTGTATGTCTGCAGGACAACCTCTGCCCCCCACCCCTGACCCCGGCCCTGCCCCTGCCCCTGCCCCAGCCAAGAGAAGTGCTTAAGTTGGAACTTCCTAACTCTTCTATGACCATGGCAAGTGGAACTATCCACTTAATGCACTTCTCTGTGTCACACCACTGATACTCTGAAACTTTTTGTATCAATTCAGATGAAAAGAAATGACATAAGGCAGAAACAGCAAGAATATTATATAAAAATCCTCAGTAGTCAATGTCTGGGACAGAGATCAAAAGTTCTGCAGTTGCTATAAAGATTTCCTGGGGATACTGTGGCAGTAGCACTTCATACTCATCATTTAGATAGGCATCCTGTCTGTATACATTCAGCTAAGACACAGGGGCTCAGGAGACTTAATTGCCACTTACGGGCCTTCATTGTTGCTAATTCCATGGTAACTATTCCATCACCTGGACAAGCCCTGTCTGTAACACAAGAAAACTGATGCAACTTGGGAGAATAGATTTCCTCATGTTTAGCAGCAGTGAATAAAGATGAAATTCCAGTAAGCTGAACAAGTGTTTTTACAATATTTTCTTGTGTTGCCACACACTGATCAAAGAAACCCTGTGTCAAGTAAAATGTCTTCCTGTGGAGTTTATAGACATCACGTACCTCCGTTAACCAGTCCAGAAGAATCGCTCGCGTTTTAGGCTGCAGAAGAGGATGTTGCTGCAAAAGTGCTTATCCCCTAAGTACTTCTTTTCCTCGTGTAACATGACTTTCCAGACTTCCTCTCTCTGCCCAGTTCAGTACAGGCAGCAGTGAGGCTCTGGATGGTATGACACCCTGAGGATCAAATGTGGGATATGCATGTACTAGTTCATCCTCTTCCTTGTTGGGTGTGGGGATCAAGGAGCAGGGGTTTACACGTACTGCATCATTGTCCCAAGGCTGACTGCTACTCTGGCCTCTCACAGTCTTGTCAAACTTGGCAGTTTCTTCATCTTGATCCTGCCAAAAGCAAACAAAAGGCCACATTTGCCTTCTTCATCTGCAGCGACGATAAGTTGGTGCTGCCTTCATTCATGATGCTCTGTTCCTTTGCATACCTCTGTTTCCCTCCCTTCCCTTGGCATGATGTGGAGTTTTTAGGCTTGTACTTCAGGCCTAAGAGCACCAACTGGACAGCAGGGTGATCACTGCAGGGTCTTGAGCACCCTCCTCTTCCATGCAAGTGGTGGCAGCCTCCTGCCTGGGAAATGGCCAGTGGGCCCATGTGGCCTGTCACCCACCCAGTTGCCAACAGCCCACAGTCCCAGAGTATGTGTGTGTGTGTCTCTCTCTCTCGTTTTTTTTTGTTTGTTTGTTTATTTGTTTGTTTAAGATTTATTTGAGTCAGAATTAGAGCTCTTCCATCCACTGGTTTACTCCCCAAATGACTGCAATGGCCAGAGCTGGGCCTATCCGAAGCGAGGAGACAGGAGCTCCCACATGGCCAAACACTTGGGCCATCCTCCACTGCTTTTCCAGATGCATTAGTAGGGAACTGGATCAGAAGTGGAGTAGCCGGGACTCAAACCGGCACCCCTATGGGATGCTGGTACCATAGGCATAAGCTTAACCTGCTATGCCATAGTACCAGCCCCTGTATCTCTCTTTTTGAGAGGAAGAAGGACAGAGAAAGTCTGAGACAGCAAACTCACCTGCTGGTTCATTTTGCAAAGGCCAGACCTAGACTGGGCCAAAGCCAGGAGCCAAGCACTCAATCCAGTTCTTCCTGTGAGTGATAAGAACCCAATTACTTGAGCATCACTGCTGTCTCCCAGGATCTATATCAGCAAAATGCTGGAATCAGGAGTCAGAACTGGGAATTAAAGCCAAACCATCTTATAGAGGATGCAGGCGGTCTTAACTGCTAGGCTAAACACTAGGTCCAAATAGGATTTTCATGTTTTCAAGATTTGTCAATATGTGTAGAAAATGAGGCTTCACACAAATGTGTACCAGAATGACCATTATGAAAAAAGGAAGTTGGATCAAATTTTGTGCTAGACTTGAAGGCCATAATGAATAGTAAAAATACTGAATTGATTTGAAGCAAAATCTTTAAGACGTGCAAATAATAAGAAGGAAGAAAAGTTGAACTGTATCTTTGATCCAATTTTCTGGTTGTGTATAGTTGAAGAGAAAGCTCTAAACCAGTACTGCAACAAGTTGAAGTATGAATTTTAATCCAGGATTTCCTCCTTTTAACCACTTATTGAGATGAAGTCAACTTTGAGCTAGAATTAATGATTTGGGTTCAACTTTCAGGCCTGCTTCTAACTTGCATAAATATTGGCAAGTCCCATTTCTTTGGCAATCACAGCCAAACTGAATAAATCTAATACTACTCTCCCTGCTTCTCAGGTACTCCATAACAAATGGAAATAAATACAAATCACAGAAAGGATGAGGTTATAATTATAGTTAATTGACAAAATTTACTTGCCAAACCTTCTTGTCCATCTTCCCATTCTACACTTGAAAGCATGAGAAGGCTTGAGATGATGAGCCTGGTTCCTGCTCTTAGTAATTGCAGCTGTTGTTGAGGGCTTTCTATGTTCTAGAAGCGGGACTGCCTTATGGAACTGGTACTGTTAACGTCCTCATTTCAAACACGAGAATGAGACGCAGAAATTAAACAATTTGTATAGGTCAGATAACTAATAAATGGCAATGGCAGAATTGGGGTTGACTTGAATGCATGCTGCATGATTCTAGAGCTATGCTGTTAAAACCACAATATGACTGTTCAAAAACTATTGAACAGGCTGGCGCCATGGCTCACTTGGCTAATCCTCTGCCTGCGGCGCTGGCACACAGGGTTCTAGTCCCGGTTGGAGTGCCGGATTCTGTCCCGGTCGCTCCTCTTCCAGTCCAGCTCTCTGCTGTGGCCCGGGAAGGCAGTGGAGGATGGCCCAAGTGCTTGGGCCCTGCACCCGCATGGGAGACCAGGAGGAAGTGCCTGGCTCCTGGCTTTGGATCAGCGAAGCACGCCGACCATAGCGGCCATTTGGGGGTTGAACCAACGGAAAGGGATATGACCTTTCTCTCTCTCTCTCTCTCTCTCACTGTGCCTGTCCAAAAAAAAAAAAAAAACTATTGAACATATGTCAGCTGCTCCTATTGTAGAATCATTGATTATCCTCAGATACAAATGAGAATGCATCATCTCTGGAATCACTTTCAAATCCTGTTAGTTTAGTCTGACTTCTGTGGGGAAGTGGGGGGTTAGGCTATAGTCGGAATATGTGGATCCTGTGGGAAGAATCACCAGGAAGCCAGGAAATAGTGGAAGATGTCTCATTCCGACTACCTAGAGAATAGGCAGGAGTGGAGTCCAAAGGCTTAGTGTGGATCCAAGAGGGTCACTGGTGTTTATTGGTTTTGTTTTAATATGAATTCAGATTTTTTAAAGATTTATTTATTGAAATGCAGAGTTGGAGGGAGAGACACAGATTGATCTTCCATCCCCTGGTTCATTCCCCAAATGGCTGCACCTGGGCCAGGATGAAGCCAGGAGCCAGAAGCATCTTTCTGATCTCTCAAGTGGATGCAGGGGCCCAAGCACTTGGACCAGCTTTGACTGTTTTCCCAGGCACATTAGCAGGGAACTAGACCAGAGGTGAAGCAGCTGGGACTTGAATCACTGCCCACATGGGATGCTAGCGTTACAGGCAATAGCTTAACCCACTATGCCATGATTTTTTGTTTTTAAAGATGTATTTTAGGCCGGTGCCGCGGCTCACTAGGCTAATCCTCCGCCTTGCGGCGCTGGCACACTGGGTTCTAGTCCTGGTCGGGGTGCCGGATTCTGTCCCGGTTGCTCCTCTTCCAGGCCAGCTCTCTGCTGTGGCCAGGGAGTGCAGTGGAGGATGGCCTGAGTACTTGGGCCCTGCACCCCATGGGAGACCAGGAGAAGCACCTGGCTCCTGGCTTCGGATCAGCGCGATGCACCTGCTGCAACGCGCTGGCCATGGCAGCCATTGGAGGGTGAACCAAAAGGAAGACCTTTCTCTCTGTCTCTCTCTATCACTGTCTACTCTGCCTGTCAAAAAAAAAAAAGAAAGAAAGAAAAAAAATTATGTATTTTACTTAAATAAAGGCAGAGTTAAATAGAGAAGGGGTGAGGGAGATCTCTTCCATCTGCTGGTTCACTCCTTAAATGGCCACAACAGCTAGAGCTGGGCTAGATTAAAGCCAGGAGCTTCGTCCGGGTCTCCCATGTGGGTGTGGGGGGCCCAAACAGTTGAGCCATCTTCCCCTGCTTTACAAGGAGCCGTAGTGGGGAGCTGGATGGGAAGTGGATCAGCTGGGTCTTGAACCGGCACCTGTGTCGGATGCCAGTGTCATAGGTGGGAGCTTTACTTGCTGTGCCACAATGCCAGGCCCTGAATTCAGATTTTTGTATTTTGTTTTAATGGGGTGTGTGTTTGTGTGTATACATACATACATACATATATATACATATAAATATATATATGTATATTTACAGTAGTGTTGATTCACTCTCAGCTGGCAGCTCTTTTGATATTAATAGTTTTTTTTTTCCCTTCCCTTTTCAGACACATTTAATCAAGCCAAGCACCAAAATACTAACACTGCTTCCTGAAGAGAGAAAGACTAATATTTATTTAACTCAAAGAAGAACTCCACATGCATGTGTTAAGCAGACCAGCATTGCTTCCTTCTTTACCTTGCAGCCAGGTATGATGACCCATCTGGGGATACTTCATTATCCAGGAGGACAAAAGGAGCCTGTTTATTTTTCCATGTTGGGATATTCAGGAGAAGTATTGAAATCAGTGCATCGCGTTAAAATAAGCTGACCTATTGAGAGAGATTATCAAACACAAGAAATCATTGCCTTTTGAAAAAAGCATATAACATGCATTTATATACTTTCCTGGTTTTGCTGTATAATATTAACTGTTTGTGTTTACTGACAGTAGTGAGGAAAGGTGTATTTGGGACTTGGGAATACCTAAGGGAGTTGACTTGGCGTTGGTTAGGATTGGCCACAATGAGTAACCTGTATATGGTTAATTGATGTTATTTCTGTATAAAATTTCTCAAGTTAATTGTTATTTCTGTAGGAAACATCTCAAAAGTTCAAAGATGGGGCAGGCATTCGACACAGCAGTTAAGACACCCCTTGGAGACTCACACATCCCTTATCAGAGTGCCTGGGTTTGACTCCCAGCCTGGCTTCTGATTCTAGCTGCCTGCCAGTGAACACTCTGAAAGGCAGCAGGTGATGGTTCAAGTACTTGGGTGCCTGCCACCCATGGAGACCCAGGTTGAGTTCCAGGCTTTGGTTTCAACCTAATCCAGGCCTGGCTGTTGCAGGCATTTGGGGAGTGAACCAGCAGATGGAAAATCTCTGTGTCTCTTTCTCTCTGCCTCTCAAGGCAAATAAAAAATTAAAATTAAAAAGTAAATTGGGCCGGCGCCGCAGCTCACTAGGCTAATCCTCTGCCTGCGGCGCCGGCACCCTGGGTTCTAGTCCCAGTCGGGGCACCGGATTCTGTCCCAGTTGCCCCTCTTCCAGGCCAGCTCTCTGCTGTGGCCAGGGAGTGCAGTGGAGGATGGCCCAAGTGCTTGGGCCCTGCACCCCCATGGGAGACCAGAAGCACCTGGCTCCTGGCTTCGGATAGGCGCGGTACGCTGGCCGCAGCGCGCTGGCCATGGCGGCCATTGGAGGGTGAACCAACAGCAAAGGAAGACCTTTCTCTCTGTCTCTCTCTCTCACTGTCCACTCTGCCTGTCAAAAAAAAAAAAAAAAAAGTAAATTGAAAGATTATTTTTCTTAGGTTGGCATAGAGTTGGCTTGTTCCTCATCCTTTTTTTTCTCCAAATTTTTATTTTTTCAAAGGCAGACCAGAAAGAGGAGAGAAATAAGAGACTTTTTGCATCTGTTGGCTCACTCCCTAAATGCTTTCAACAGCTGGGGTTGGCCAGGCTGAATGAAGTCAGGAACGAGGAATTCAGAGTTTCCCACAGTGGGTGCAGAGACAATCACTTCAGCCGTCACCTGCTGCCTTCCAGGGTGTGTACTAGCAGGAAGCTGGAATTGAGAACAGAGCTGGGACTTGAACTCAGCTGCTTTGATACGGGATGTGGGTATCCCAAGTGGCATCTTTACCGCTATGCCAAATGCCTACCCCTCTCATCATCCTTCGGTGGTTCTTTGCTTGCATGTGTCTCTGGAGAAAGCTGAGGTCTGGAATGCGTGGAGTTTCTAGAGGAGGGCTCCTGCAGTTGGAGGGCTTTGCAGGGAGTGCTGTAATTCTTAGTGGGATTCTCAGTGCTGCTTTCTATCAAAATGCTCTCTTCCCTCCCTAAGCAAGAACTTCTTCCTTCTGCTTTGTATAACAAGGAAAACATTTTTTTAATTACAGATTCTAGTTTATTTATGGTCTATTTTGAATTCTTAGGCAAAGTTGGAAATTCTCGCAAAATAAAATTTGTGCAATTTAATTCTTGGAGAAGGAAAAAGGAAATCATTCTGTTTTGTTTTGTAATTAGATCTTGGTGTGACTTCAGGGGAATGGGAATTCCGTGTCATTCGTCCATCTCTTAAAGCAGAACAAGATCCATTTTATGCTTGGTAAAGTGGACAGGCTGGACAGTAGTATTTGTTTTATCATTGTTCTTCCTACTAGTTGTCTTAGCATCCTGATTTTGTCTTCACTCCTTTTCCATGAAATGTTTGAGGAGAAGGGAACTTGTGTTCTTTCTACTGTCACCAGAAGGTTTCTTAGAGTTGGATGCTAAATGTGATCTTTCAGATCTAACATGAGTACGTGTTGGTGTGTTTCTTTAAGCATAATATTCTGGAGTATATATTTGCCGGGATCACTATTTAGTAGAAACCATGTTAAATAAAAAGAGCAGCACTGGCGTGTCCTGTGTTAAACCACATAATGTGAAAGCTCAGCTGGAAAGGTAGGTGCTGGTTTGATTGTATACCATGTTTGACTTTATTAGGTTGAGGAAGGTCATGACAGCATCCATTCACTTGCATAGGAGAATGTAAGATTTATGTTTTAGAAAGACCATTCTGAAAGCAAAACAAGGTTGAAAGCGGGAAGATTAACTACCGAGTTAGGTGAAGAATCTTAAGAACCCTGCAACAGGCAGTAATAGTCACTGGTGTTGATTTCAGAAAAAGCCAACTAAATTCTGTTGAGGGCAATTTTCTGACAGTAACTTGTTTATTCCTGTTTCACTAGGAAAGACAAATGGTGGTGACCAGAGAAGTGTTCCGTCTCCTGCAGAAAGACAGATCAACAAAGAACCCAAGAATGATGCATCCCCTCTAAGGGGCCATTTGATCCAAGGCTCTGGGGATGGTTGCATGACACTCCCTTTTGCCACTTCAACCCCAGCAGACATCCCGGAGACGGGACTTTCTCCTCAGCTCCTCCAGACTTCTGGCCACCACAAAATGGGAAATCTACTTTTCACTGAGCTGTCTTTGCTGCAGCCTGATACCCTAGTCTGTGCCGGACAGAGTGAAGCCTCACTGGCTTTTTCCTTTTCCCAGGACGTGGGACGTTCTTGTTTACTGGACCAGAAGGAGGGACAGAAGGATTCTTCCATGAGGGAATGGCTTCATGGATCTAAAAAGAAGTCTCAGGGCCTGGAGAGACACAGCAGCCCAGCTAGGGGAAAATGCCCTCAATCCTTGGACAAAGCTAAATTGGAAAGGAAGGTGTCTGCCAAAGAAAACAGGCAGGTCCCTCAGACTCACAGGGAATCCTGGAATGGAAAAAACACAGCAGTGAAACGAAGCCCTTGTCCTGTTTCTGTGTTTTCCTGGGATAGTGAAAAGAATGACAAGGACTCATGGAGTCAGCTTTTCACTGAGGATTCTCAGGGCCAGCAGGTCATCGCCCACAGCTCTCGAGCCCCTTTCCGGAACATAAGCAACAGCTGCCCTCGGGGCCTGGAGCAGTTTGCTGACAGCACTCAGGCTCTGAGCCAGGTGGGGCCGACACAGTTCCACCTGCCCCCTGACCTTCTCTTTACCCAGGACTCTGAAGGTAATCAGGTTATCAAGCATCAGCTGTAAATGTTTTTAATGTGGGTTTGGTTCTAAAGTACCTTCAAATAAGAGATGTAGGAAGACATCTGTAGTTGGTGGTGAGAAGTGTTTTTAGGAGGGAAGGAGGCAGTGTGAGATATAGCTTTTGGCATTATCAAACATTTTCTTTGTGTGAATAAAGCAGGCAGTATCCCTCATTAAGACCGTGTGTTGGCTTCGTGCCTTTCCCTCATAAGGTGACTGGTGAATTCTCTGAACAAGGGTGAGGTGTGCACCGGGGAGGCAGTGCTGGTACTGAGCCCTGCACGGAAGACCCTGCTATGCTCTTCGCCCTTTCTGATGCCTGGCTGGGACCTTGCTTCTTTAGGATGTGTGTGTTTATCTTTGGCTGTAAGCCTTCTCAACCAATAATGGGACCATTATTCTTGATAGCTTTCTGAGAGACAGAGGCATATTCCCCTAACGCAAGTGTGCAGCAGTTAGCAGGACAGAGGTAGGCCGGCAGTAGTTCCATTGTTTTCTTTATTTAGTGTTAACTGTATAGTACTTTAAAGTTATATATTTTGCTTCAATATCTCCTTTTTTAAAAAGTCTAAGCAATGTAATAGTCTGAATGTGATTTTATGAGGGTACTTCAAAAAGGTCATGGTAAAATGGAATTAAGATTTTTGGTGTGTAGTCTTTTTGTAATACAACGTTCCAAGAGCTTTTTGTAGTCTTCCAAGAAGTAGAAAACTAATCTGTAATGTTTTATGTTTGAAAAAGTAATTTAGCAGTAGCATGTTCTGTCACTGCCCTAGGTTCAGTATGAACTTGGGTCATGAGTTTGGAACTATTTTTAAGAGTTTAGGGGCCGGCACCGTGGCTCAATAGGCTAATCTCCGCCTTGCACCCGCATGGGAGACCAGGTGCGCAGCGCACCGGCCACGGCGGCCATTGGAGGGTGAACCAGTGGCAAAAAGGAAGACCTTTCTCTCTCTCTGTCCACTCTGCCTGTCCAAAAAAAAAAAGTTTAGGGAAAAATCTACAGAAAGGGGAAAGCACCTAGGGAAGTTTCCCTTTTTTTTTTTTGACAGTGTTAGAGGGAGAGACAGAAAGGTCTTCCTTACGCTGGTTCACCCCTCAAATGGCTGCTACTGAAGCCAGGAGCCAGGTGCTTCCTCGTGGTCTCCCATGCGGGTGCAGGGTCCAAGCACTTGGGCCATCCTCCACTGCCTTCCCGGGCCACAGCAGAGAGCTAGACTGGAAGAGGAGCAACCGGGACAGAATCTGGCGCCCCGCCGGGACTAGAACCTGGTGTGCTGGCGCCGCAGGCGGAGGATTAGCCTAGTGAGCCGCGGCACTGGCTGGAAGTTTTCCTTTTTAAGGGCAGGACCTAATAAGGAAAAACAAAGCCAGAAACCTGGCTTTTAAGTTCATACCCCTTAAAATTTTAGGGATCCTATATTCCTAAGAGATACTAGGTAATCACAACTCAAGAGACAGACACAGCAAATGCAGTCCTTCTCCAAATCCTTCATTTAATGTTGGGTAATGCTTAAACCCACACACATACATACCATAGAGAAAGGGACCTGAGGGCGTCTGTGTCATGCATGGTGCTGTAGGTACAAACCTTGGCCCAGCCCAAAGGGCCTGGAAGGATGGTATGCTCTCTCCCTTCCCATTTCCCATTCCTACTGGGCTTAAACTAGAGTCCCATGGAAGAGAAAGTTTTCAGTGAAACTGATGAGGCTCTGGGGCCTTGGAGGCTAGGTCTGGTTGTATATAGTATTATAAAATATACTTAAGAAAAAATAGCCAGGGCCTTCAGTAGCAGCCCAAGTGTTAGCTGGTCCAGTGGCCTGACCTCTACATCTAGACAGGGAAAGGGTGATTGCTGGGCATTTGTGTAGGTTTATGATGGAGCAGCATTAAGATCTTCCCTGCCCTGTGCAGTGTGCAAACTTGTACATAAACTGTGACAGCCTTCCCCTCAGCCCTGCTCTGCTGCAAGGCAGCAGCTGAGAGTGAGTGACAGCTGGGCACAACAAAGTGACCGATGAGACCAGTTATGGGGTCTGATGCGGTGAATTAAGTCAGTTAGGACCTAATTTCATACAGGGCCAAGGGGAAAACAAACTTCTATCTCCTTAAACTGAGACATTCCACCATACATAATCACCTGTAACAAATGTCTCAGCACAAACCCCAGGCCTTAGCTTCTGCTAAGGTTGATACATGGGAAACATGTAGTCCAGCTCTTCTCTTTCAGTCCAAGCTCTAGCTTGTCTGCCAGACTGTTACAGATTTCTAGCTGAGAGGCAGAAACATCTGTCTGTGGTGAGGAAGGCAGCTGTTGAAGGAGTTCCAGGAGCGTGAAACTGAGTTTGCAGAGCTGAGTGGTGTCAGTTTCCTTTCCTACTAATATCTTCTTCCTTCAGAGCAAACTTCCTCCTTAGGACCTCGGAGATAAGAACAGCAGGGTCTTCTTCCTTCACTAAACTCCGGTTCCTGGTGATATAATCACAGATAAAATTATACTTGAGTTTGTGTCTTTGTGCACATTACCCGACCGAATTCTCACAATAACCACTAGAGGTAAATGCTTTTACAGTTCTTTTTTTAAAGATCTATTTTATTTATTTGAATGACAGAGTTACAGAGAGAGGGGTCTTCCATTTGCTAATTCACTCCCCAAATGGCTGCAACAGCCAGAGCTGGGCCAATCTAAGCCAGAAGTTTCTTCCAGGTCTCCCCCACAGGGCCCAATTTTGCTTTCCCAGGCGATAGCAGAGAGCTGGACTGGAAGTAGAGCAGCCAAGACTCGAATTGGCACCCATTTGGGATGCTGGCACTGCAAGCAGTGGCTTTACCCACTATGCCACAGTGCTGGCTTCTAATGTTTCTTTAATGGCTACAAAGTGTGGGCAAAATAAAGGACCATCAACTTGCTAGAGTTGGCCTGATGGCTAAGCTTCTGCTCCCACCCTTTGACCCTATCGTAGGAGCATTTTACCACAAGGTTTGCAGGGGAAGTGACTGGTGAGTTGGCCATTCTGATCCTTATTTATTTTTGACAGGCAGAGTGGACAGAGAGAGAGACAGAAAGGTCTTCCTTTTTTGCCGTTGGTTCACCCTCTAATGGCTGCTGCGGCCGGCATGCTGCGGCCTGCGCACCGTGCTGATCCGAAGCCAGGAGCCAGGTGCTTCTCCTGGTCTCCTATGTGGGTGTAGGGCCCAAGGACTTGGGCCATCTTCTACTGCACTCCCGGGCCACAGCAGAGAGCTGGACTGGAAGAGGAACAACCGGGACAGAATCCAGTGCCCCGACTGGGACTAGAACCTGGTGTGCTGGCGCCGCAGGCAGAGGATTAGCCTATTGAGCCGTGGCGCCGGCCTCTGATCCTTATTAGTTCTGGGGAAGAGGCTACTACCCTAGTTCCCCAACAGGGGAAACCTAGAATTATAGCTAAACATGCATATCATCAGGAACTTGTGGGAACAAAACCAACTCCAGGGTGGGGTAGGCTCAAATTTTTTTTTAAAGATTTATTTATTTGAAAGGCAGTGTTAGGGAGAAGTCTTCCATCTGCTGGTTCACTTCCCAACTGGCTGCAATAGCCATAGCTGGGCCGATCCGAAGCTGCTTCCTGGGTACAGGGGCCCAAGGACCTGGGCCATCTGCTTTTCCAGGCCACAGTAGAGCTGCCGGGACTCGAACCGGTGCCCATATGGGATGCTGGCACTTCAGGCAGTGGCTTTACCTGCTACACCACAGCACCGGCCCCAAGAGGGTCTTAAACTTGAAAAATAATTCTAGTGAACATCCCCATGCAGATGTTTTTTTTTTTTTTTAATTTTTTATTTTTTTATTTTATTTTTTTGACAGGCAGAGTGGACAGTGAGAAACAGACAGAGGAAAAGGTCTTCCTTTGCCATTGGTTCACCCTCCAATGGCCGCCGCGGCTGGCGTGCTGCGGCCGGCGCACGGCGCTGATCCGGTGGCAGGAGCCAGGAGCCAGGTGCTTCTCCTGGTCTCCCATGGGGTGCAGGGCCCAAGCACTTGGGCCATCCTCCACTGCACTCCTGGGCCACAGCAGAGAGCTGGCCTGGAAGAGGGGCAACCGGGACAGAATCCGGCGCCCCAACCGGGACTAGAACCCGGTGTGCCGGCGCCGCTAGGCGGAGGATTAGCCTAGTGAGCCGCGGCGCCAGCCCATGCAGATGTTTTACTTGTCATTAATCATTAAGCCTTGAATGTAAAATTATTTTTTGTATTACATTTCTGAACCTTTACCCATAGTCATTGGCCCAGCTTGTTCTACAAAGGAGAAAAGAATCTTGACCATAAGGATCTGGGATCTGTTTGATCCAAAAGGCAAGCCAGAAAAGTATGAGAATCTATAAAACATGGTGACCAAAAGCAGCAGCAGTTAAATGCACGTGGGGATGTGGAAAATTAAAGAACTGCAGGTCAGGATCAGCCTGCCAGTAAGCAGTGACCCTGTCTGGTTTCCAGAGGGAAATGGGGCCTAGGAAACACAGATCTCTGTACAAGGTGCGTTGCCTTCCCTTCAGCAGGAACTTCATCAACCTCCCAGCCCTCAGGGCAGCTTCTTGACCTGCATTCAAAGAGCTGTGCAATCTGGGTGCTGGCCAGTAAGGTTGGATCTCAAACTGACGTGTCCAGAAACTTGCATTTTTGAATATCAAGCCCCTCTGGTGAGTTCATGCCACTGCTCAGACCACACTTGGAGAAATGGGCCTAGGGCTCCAGGGTCTCTCTGTAAGATGAGTTTCTCAAAGGTAGGTGTTCCCTCACGCCCAGTTAGAAACTGCTTCACTTCCTAGGGAGTCTGTTTGTTTTAAACAAATCTGTGCCATTCTGATAACCAGCTTTCATGACTCTTAAAAGCCTGTTTTCAAACATCTGCATTTACAAGGTTGTCTTGGATTTTGGACCATTTGTGTCTGCAAAGGCCAGGGCCAAAGAAGAATCGAGGTCTCCACGTGGGTGGCAGGAACCCAATTATTACTCAAGCTGCTCTTGTGGCTTCCCAGGTCTCCATCAGCAGGAAGCGGGAGCCAGAGATGGGCACTGATCTCAGCAGCTAAACATCCACAGTACTTTAAAGCAGGATTCCTAACTTCAGAAATTCTCCTTCCACCAAAAACACCTACCAATTTGAGATAACAACCTCCCATTATGAAAGGTAGGGCAGAAGGAAACTCAGTATGAAAACTGAAGTGGTGAAGCCGCCCAGGGCAGAAGTTGGGTTGAATGAGCCTTTTTTGTAAAATCCCTACTAGTCATAACTTTGGCTGGGGTGATTTAACCCAGCAAATGTAAAATGCTCTTAAATCTGTTAGACTGGATCACTGACCAAGTGTGACTCAGAAAGGCGTAGGCCTGTGGTACAGCTGTTAAATCGCTGCTGCAACTCCTGCATCTTGTGTCGAGTCCTTGGTTTGAGTCCCAGGTACTCTTGCTTCCTGTCCAACTTTCTGCTAATTTGCACCTGGGAGGCAGCAGGTGATCACCCAAGTACTTGGGTCCGCGCCCAGATGGGAGTCCCAGCGTCCCAGCATCCCAGCCCAGTCTTGGCAGTGGTGGGCATTTGAGGAACAAACCAGTAGATGGAAATTTGTCTCTGCCTCTCTCAAATAAAAAAACAATTTTTAAAACAGTACATGGGGCCAGCGCCGTGGCTCACTAGGCTAATCCTCTGCCTTGCAGCGCCGGCACACCAGGTTCTAGTCCCGGTTGCCCCTCTTCCAGGCCAGCTCTCTGCTGCGGCCAGGGAGTGCAGTGGAGGATGGCCCAAGTACTTGGGCCCTGCACCCCATGGGAGACCAGGAGAAGCACCTGGCTCCTGCCATCAGATCAGCGCGGTGCGCCGGCCGCAGCAGCCATTGGAGGGTGAACCAACGGCAAAGGAAGACCTTTCTCTCTGTCTCTCTCACTGTCCACTCTGCCTGTCAAAAAAAAAAAAAAAAAAAGTACATGGATCACCAGAATACTTACAAATCTTGGCTCTGTTTTATTCGGTGAAAATCCTTCAGGATACCCATCATGTCTGCAAAGCTGCTGGCCTTGGACAGAGAGATGCAGTCGTCGTCTTCAGAGGAGCTACAGGTGGCCTTGTGTTCTGTTTTACAACATTCAGGGCTGGCAGAACAAAGCAGGGGAACTGATGGGAGCTCAGGGACCTCTACCTCAGTCTCCTCAGTGATGTCACTAATGACAAAGGAAGTTGTAGAGTGGAATGAGGATCCAAAACAAGGCAAAGGAGAAGAAACATTTGAACTTCCTGGAGATAAGAAATCTGGCGTTAATGAAGCCGAAGCTGAAAGAGAAAACAACAGGCATAGATGAACACTGAAGCTAGAATAAAGCAAACACTCCCTAGAGAACATCCATTTCCTAGGCTGCCAGGAACAGTCTGGGGGAGTCCTCCGCTGTCCTTCCCACCCTTGGCTCCTAAAAATCCCCATTCTGCAGCAATTGGATGGCAGCCTTTGACTAAAGCGACAGAGTCGAGGCCTGCATTTGTTCTTTTTCTCTAACTGATCTAGTGCTTCTAACTCTGAAAACAACTAGAATATTTCTAAGTCTGGCTTCTTATATAAGTCTCCTGGATGACAGAAAAAAAAATAGCCTAGAAATGGAAATGTAAGTGCAGCTCATCCATGAAACTCCCATGTGATGGAATTAAGTAATACCATGATTTTTATGTGCCCTGCCCACTGATAAGGTTTGGGAGCTAGGAGTTTCATCTCTCCCAAGATGCTCAGTAACTTTAATGTATTGGGTGTTCATGCCTCTGGTCAAGACAGGCTCTCATCCATTTCCATTGGTTCTGCCTTAACTAGAAACCTGGAAGAGTGGGGAGGTGACCTCTGATACAGAGGGCAAGGAACAGGGAGGTGATGGTGGGGAATGCTTCATAAACAGGAGGAGCTGCTGCTGTGGGCTCATGGAGACACTTAAGGGGCCAGTGCTATGACAGCAGGCTAAGCCTCTGGCTGCTCCACTTCTGGTCCAGCTTTCTGCTTACGCGGAAGATGGCCCAAGTAGCACCCACGTGGGAAATCTGGAAGAAGCTTCTGGCTTCAGATTGGCCCAACTCTAGCTGTTGCAGCCATCTGGGGAGTAAACCGGTGGATAGAAGATATTTCTTTCCCTCTCTGTAACTCTGCCTCTCAAATAAATATTAAAAAAAAAAAAAAAAAAAAAAAAACCACTTAGAAGAGGGTACTGGTTTTTGTAGTTAAGGAAAGGAATCTGCCTGGGGTCACAGGTTAAGTGATTATTTGTTCCTAACCAAACCATTCAGTCCAAAATGGTTGTTAGGAACTCTCCAAGGGAGTACTAGAGTCTGCCCAAGCCTCACTGCCCAGAGCCGTGGGCCTAAATCCCCCTGAACCAGGGAGCACCATTTTCCTTAACCCTATGCTGTCCCTCCAAAAACAAGGGGACAGCCTGCTATATCCCAAGCCCCAGTTTAGGGGCTCCTACCTGAATCAGCTGCCACTATCTTGGCAATCTGGCTGCGCAGGTGACTCAGCTCATCCTGCAGCTCAGTGGTGCGGCTCAGGGCAGGCAGCGCTGGCTTCTTCAGGGCCAGGAGCCTTTCCTCAGACGCGCGCAGGTTCGGCACTGAGGCATTGCGCTGCATGACCATCAGAGGGCTGGGTTTCCAGGTGTGCCTCAGGGGGCGTGTGTCACTCCTGGGCCAGAGGAAAACGAGCACAGCAGTCACAAAGAGCTGGCACCGCACTCCTGCACAAACCCCTTCATCCACGTTAAGAGTGACAGGTCCTGCTTCCCTCTGGTGAACAGTTTTCATCCCTGCTGCCCTCAGCCTCTCACAGCACTCTCACTGCTGCCTGCCACTTCCGGGAGGAAGGTCCCTGTTCCCCAGCAGATCCGCCACTGCCTCAGCTACCTGACTCGGGCGTACGTCTCCTCTTCATCTGCAGCAATCCAGGCAATGTCAGCCAGGGTAGGGACTGGGGGCACATCTCTCAAACACAGGTCAGAGATGTTGGGCAGGGTCTGTGGGGAAGTAAAATTCATCAACAAACACTGACTCCACAAAAAGCCAATTAGACATTGCAAAATACACAGGAGGAGCACCTAACCCAGTACTGGGTGTCAGGAAGGCTTCCTAGAAGGGGTGGAATAATGGTCCTGATTGGAAACAGCTTGCAGGACAGTTTGTGGGATTACAAATAGTTTAGGATCTTCATTGGTACTGGCCTGCGTGATTTTTTTTTTAAAAGATTTTTATTTATTTGATGGAGTTACAGACAGTGAGAGAGAGAGACAGAAAGGTCTTCCGGGCCGGCGCCGCGGCTCACTAGGCTAATCCTCCGCCTAGCGGCGCCGGCACACGGGGTTCTAGTCCTGGTTGGGGCACCGGATTCTGTCCCGGTTGCCCCTCTTCCAGGCCAGCTCTCTGCTGTGGCCCAGGAGTGCAGTGGAGGATGGCCCAAGTGCTTGGGCCCTGCACCCCATGGGAGACCAGGAAAAGCACCTGGCTCCTGGCTCCTGCCATCGGATCAGCGCGGTGCACCGGCCGCAGCGCGCCAGCCGCGGCGGCCATTGGAGGGTGAACCAACGGCAAAGGAAGACCTTTCTCTCTGTCTCTCTCTCTCACTGTCCACTCTGCCTGTCAAAAAACAAAAAACAAAAAACAAAAAAAAAAAAGAAAGGTCTTCCTTCCATTGGTTCACTCCCCAAATGGCCACAATGGTTGCAGCTGCGCTGATCCGGAGCCAGGTGCTTCCTCCTGGTCTCCCATGCCTTCCCAGCTGGCCTGAGTGATCTTTTAACAGGGCTGGCCATGAGACAGGTGTTGTGGTATACCAGATTAGGCCACTGCTTGGGACGCCTGTATCCCACAAGAAGACCTGGTTCCAGTCCTGGCTACTCTGCATCTCATCCAGCTCCCTGCTGATGCACCAGGGAAGCAGTGGATGATGGCTCAAGTACTTGGGCTCCTGCCACCATGTCAGACCTGGCTTCAGCCTGGCCCAGCTCTGGCTGTTTTGGATCTTTGGGGAATAAATCAGTGAATGGAAGATTAGTCTGTAATTCTGCCTTTCAAATAAAATAATTATTAAACAAACAGAGATGGCCATCTTGCCCTTTGATTGTGAGAATATGGGTACAGGGGCTGGCGCTGTGGTATAGCAGGTAAGGCCGCTGTCTGCAGTGCCAGCATCCCATATAGGCGCCGGTTTAAGACCCGGCTGATCCACTTCCAATCCAGCTCTCTACTGTGGCCTGGGAAAGCAGTACAAGATGGCCCAAGTCCTTGGGCTTCTGCACCTGCGTGGGAGACCTGGAAGAAGCTCCTGGCTCCTGGCTTCATATCGGCACAGCTCTGGCCGTTGCGGCCATTTGAGGAATGAACCAGCAGATGGAAGATCTCTTTCTGCCTCCTCTTCTGTGTAACTCTTTCAAATAAATAAATAAATCTTTTAAAAAAAAGAATGTATGGGTACAGGGTCATCAAAAATCTGTTCTAGCCACGGGAAATTTCTTGTGGCTGTGTCATGGTGTGATTCTAGGTAACTTATTTTACTTTCCACAATTTTTTTTTTTCAACTTATTTGACAGAGTTAGACAGTGAGAGAGAGACAGACAGAAAGACAGAGAGAAAGGTCTTCCTTCCATTGGTTCACCCCCCAAATGGCTGCTACAGCCAGCACTGTGCCGATCCGAAGCCAGGAGCCAGGTGTTTCCTCCTGGTCTCCCACGCGGGTGCAGGGCCCAAGCACTTGGGCCATCCTCGACTGCCTTCCCAGGCCACAGCAGAGAGCTGGACTGGAAAAGGAGCAACCAGGACTAGAACCCAGTGCCCATATGGGATGCCAGTGCCGTAGGTGGAGGATTAGCCAAGTGACCCATGGCGCCAGCCTACTTTTCACAATTTTTATAGGGCTAAATTTTAAAAATAAGATTCCTTTTAATATTTAAGATGATTTACAGAAATCTAGGTATAATTAAGACAGTAGCACACCTGCATGAGTTAAATTCCATCTGTTACAAATTGTTTATTAGGTGGATGAGGGGTTGCCAGTTCTTGCTTTTAGATAGGGAACCTGGGACTGACAGGAATTAAGTGACACTCCAAGGGCACGAGGAGGATGAGTGTCACTGACCCAGAGCTATTGCCAGAGTGAGCCATTCAGGGAGAGCCATGTTTGCTTTCCGGGATTAGCTGTGAATGTCCCTTCGCTGTGGGCAGTTAACCGAGGTAATGTGGGAAGTGCCTGCACAGTGTGTGCCCCTCGTCAGTGTCACTGCTCCTCCCTGCTGCTCTGAGGGAGCCTGTGCCTGGCAGCATCTGTCCAAGGCCTGCAGGGGAGACAGCCAAGCGTGGGGCACCCTGCACGGGGTCAGTCACGCTTAGCCGTCTTTCCCTGTTGTCCAGTGCTTCCAAGGCAGCTGGGACCCACGTCCTCCTGCCCCTGCCAATTAGGCAATTCTGGGTGATTGGCAAGTTGGGTTATGGGATAGCCCTTTCCAACCTCATTCCTGAACTAACACCAAGCCTGATACCACTTCCAACTCCAGATCCAGTTCCTACACAGCCTGCACTTTAGCATCTGATATACAAGCTCCTTCACTCTCTTCCTGCCTGGGCACACCTTTCACTCGTATGTGGGTTTCCTCTGCATAGACAGAAAGCAGAGGTGGGTGTGTCCCAGCGTCCTGAGCACAGACACCTTAACCAGCAGTCTGGAACTGATGCTTCACCGTTGGTTCCTGGGGGAGGCAGCTGGGACTGACAGATGCTGCTCAGCGTTCAGGGTAGGAGGAGGTCTCAGACCTGGGCCAGGCAGAACTCTGCTACAGAAGAAGAGCTAAAGTCTCCCAGACAGGGAGGTAACACTGAAGTAGCCTGGTAAAGGAGTGGCCAGACTTAGCCAGAAAGAGGAAGACGGGGGGAGTAAGGCCTCAGAAACACTACAAGTGGCTAAGTGGCCAAGTCTTAGGACTTAGAGCTGAAGAAGAGAGTTAAGCTCAAGAGACACACATGGGCTGGCATAGTGGTTTAAGCTACCACCTGTGACACCGGCATCCCATATGAGCCAGTTTGAGTCCTGGCTGCTCCATTTCTGATTAAGCTCCCTGCTAAGCTAATGTACCTGGTGAAGCAGCAGATGATCCAATACCTGGGCCTCTGCTACCCACACGGGAGACACAGATCGAGCTCCTGGCTTCAGCCTGGCCCAGCTCTAGCCTTTGCAGCCGTTTAGGGAGTGAACCAGCAGATGGAAGAGATCGCTCTCAAGAGTCAATATAACACTCAGTGACCCACGTGGAGACCCTCGGGTTGTTGGCAAACAGCTCGAGCGCAGATGTGCACAGTCATGCAGATTTGGCCTGCTCTGATAAACTGCTGAAGCCGATGAAATCAGAGTCTCAGCAGAGGCCACCAGGATGTCAGTGTTCACTCATGAACAGACTGGAAGGCCGTGTAGCCGCAGGTGTGTGTGCAATCAGAAGGTACCGTGAGCAGGAGCTATCTGGACCACTTACTAAATACTTCTTGATCAAATGAAAAAGTAAGCAGGAAGGCAGCTGGCCTTGGCACACACCAACAGGTCTGAGGCACAGAGCCTCTTCTCTCCTCGCCCTCAGCACACTCACCTCAAAGGCTGCCCGGGGGCACGGCTTCAAGGGTAGGTTGGTCCCAATTCTCCTCACCACACTTCGGGCAGCTCCGTGAGGCTTGTTTTGCCAGATTGGGATAGTCTAGGCAAAGAGGGACAGGATGGCCACAACTTCAGAGACAGCGAGTCCAGCTACCTTTGTCCCTGCCCACTCTAGCAGGAAGACTGGATTCCAAATCTCAGAGGCAGGGTACCCTCTGGGGCTAAGTCAGGTCTCTACTATGAGTGAGGACAGGCTCCTCAACAGCCAGCACCCAAGGGACATGCTGCTGCTGGGGCAGTCAGTGTCAGGAAGCCCAGTGAAGGGGCCAGGAGTTAGCTGGGTACAGGGATCATCCAGGTGCCCCTCCCCTCCCTCTGCACAGGAAGGTGGAAATACGTTGAGCCCTGAAACTTCTCCAGTGCCTAGCAGATTCCTCAGAGAAGGGGATGGAAGGGCAGCCTTGCTCCAGTTCCAGGCCTCCAGGGAGAAGGATTGCGGGAGTCAGAACCTCGTACTGTACTTGGGCTGGCTCGGTGCTCCACTCTCCCACCACACCTTGCCCTGGGAGTGTCCCTTACCACATTGGCTTCCATTCCCGACATCGCAGCCAGCTCCTGCACTTGGACAGGGCAGCCACGGCAGCAGGGAGAGGCGGGAGGTGTGGCGCCTGCACATCAGGCCATCTTGAGGAATGTCCGATTTTCCTTCCTGTGAAACAACCCCCACAGTGGGAACTCAGTGGCCACAAGCCCCACAAAAGTAGGCCCTGCAGAGCCTCGACTACACCAAGACTTCTGTTTCACACGAGGAGAAAACCACTCCAAGAGGCTGCCTTCACCCACCACAGGCTCCAAATCCAGGCCCCTAAAGGTTCTGTTCGACTTTGTGGGTGAGCTCGGCCAACCTGGGGAACCTCCCTGGGCCCTGAGGTTTCTTGAGGCAAAAGGACATAAATAGAAAATATGTTCTAAAGACATAAATAGAACCTGTTGGTATGTACAAAGTTCATGGGAGAGCCAAAAGGAAGGTACTGTCCAAGCCCAGCATTCATTCTTAGGGTTGGAAAAGCATTGCTGGGCCCCTGCCAGGGGCTGGAGCGGCAGCAGGAGAGTGAACAGAGGGGGGAGAAGAGCCCCAAATCTGCATCTTGGTTCAGCCACCTGCCGTCTTGTAGCCTCCGGCAGGTCATTTAATCTTTCTGAATGGTTCTCCACTTGACCTTAAGGTTCGGTGAAATGGGTTTAAGTGCTTAATGAACCGTTAAACACGCCACAGATGGAAGGGGTCACTCCTGGCAGGTGCAGTCCGCTCCTATGCATTCCCTTGTTCACCCAGCTGAGATGGGACCCGGACAGTGACTTTCACTGAGGAGGAGGCTGGGTGAGTTCAGAGGGAGTAGGAAGGTGAGGGGTGGAGTATGAGAAGACAACGAGGCAGGCTGGGGGTGAAGTCCTGAGGGCTGGGGACGCCGGGGGAGGTCACTGCGGAGCAGAGACTGGCAAAGCCGCTCTTTTGGCGAGTTCCCCCGGAGGGTCTCCCCCTTGGGAAAGCAGGTGTCGGGGAAGGGAAGCTGGAGGAGGAAGGGCCCCGGGGCTGGCCCGGGTGTCGCTGCCTCCACTCCTCAGTCCAAGCCTTTCATCTGCGCCCCAGTGCCTCTGTCTCAAATCCTTACGGCCACTTCCTCCGGTGGGCCTGATGCAACAGCTGCAGGCATTTTCCCAAACACTTCGGTTCTATGATTAAAACTGGCTGGCTAGAGACGACAAGATAGAACCTGGACCCCAGACTGCCCCGCGAGGCCGGTGCGGGGCGGCCCCCGCGTCACGGCCACACCTCCAGCGCCCGGGCAGGCGACGCCAGCACCCGCTTCTCGGCCCCAGCGTCACCGTCCGTCCTGCCCGGGTCGGGGGCGCCCCAGTTCCCTGCAGCACCGCCGCGAACTGCGGTTCCCGGAGGGGCCGCACGGCATCTGCCGGAACAGACTAAGCGTGGAGCCGGAGACTGCCAGCTCGGCCTCCAAGCTCCCCGCCCCAAGGGCTGCGGGCTGGCAACACTGCTCGGCCGTCGGCGCTGCTGCGCCCCCACCGCCCCTTCCGAGGCCGCCGTCACGCTCCGTTCACGCGCGTCCCCCCGGGGAGACGGCGCTGCTCCAAGCAGGGCCGTCTCCGCACCCCGGCCCGGGCGCAAACTTCGCGGCGCGCACCGACGGTCGGAGCCCCGCGCGGTGGGTCTCGCCGCCAGGCCCCCACGCAGCTGCGCGGGGAAGCCGCCGCTGGGACCCAGCCAGGACGCGCGTCCCCGCCCCCGCAACACCCCGCCGGCCCGGATCAAGGTCGGCCAGGTCCTCGCCGCCTGCCCAGCAGCCCAGCGCCCCAGCGCCCCACAGGCCCCGTGGCCGGGTCTCCGAAGGGCCGAACCCTCCGGTCGGCCTCGGCTCGGAGGAGTAACTACCCTCTCGGGGACTCGGCTTCCCCGTGCCAAAGGAAGCGGACGGCGGCGGCTCCCGCGAGAAGTCGCGCGGGAACAGGAGCCGCGGGCCCCGCACAGCGCCTGGCGCCGAGACCCCGCCTGCGGCCGGGCCGGAAGGCCGCGCCTCTGTCTCTCCGGCCGCCCTCGGACCCTGCTCACCTCAGACTGTGGCTCCGGGACTCACTCACCTCACGGCCCCTCCTACCTCAGCGAGCAGCCCGGCCTCAACCGCCCCGACTTCCGCTGACCCGCCCCCCCCGGAAGCGATCCTTTGCAGCTGCGCACCGAGCCGCGCCCCCGCGCGCCCTCGGCAGGCGGGCCCAGGGCGGGGGCGGGGATGGGGGCGCGGCCTCTGAGGGGGCGGGGATGGGGGCGCGGCCTATGAGGGGGCGGGGCGGGGCACGCCCCCGTCCGCAGGCAGCGCCTGGAGATCCCCGAGGGTGCTGATTCGTCGCTTCCGGCGCGGGTCGCCGTCGCTTTGTTGCTTTTCACGTTTGTACGCCTTCGACTTCCGGAAGCCGAGGTCTGCCCAGCTCGGCCTTTAAAATATGCGGGGTCTGTTGCCCCCCACCCCGGGCTCTGGCGCTTCCTCTGCGTGGCCCTCGAGTCCGTGGGCCTCCCCCAAGAGAATGGGCTCCCCAGTCTTTGGGGCTTTCTTCTGTCTTAGCCTTTATCTCACCCTTAGACGCACAGCCACATGGCATATATATATGTGTGTGTATGTATATGTATATACATACACACACATATATATTTAAAAGTTTATTTATTTGAAAGGCAGAATGACAAAAAAAAAAAAAAAAAAAAGTGGGAGGGAAGCTGGTTCACTTCTCAAATGCCCGCAAGAGCCACAGCCCGCCCAGGCGGAAACCAGGAGCCGGAAACTCCGTGTGGGTCCCCCGCGCGGGTGAAAGTGTCCAGGTACTCGGGTATCCTCTGCTGCACACTGGGGGAAGGGGGTCAGAAGCAGCACAGCCCAGCACTATGGGCTGTGGGCAACCCACCCTGCGGCCCAGCCCACTGCACCACTGCACTGGTCCTACAGGCGGCACCTTCCAAAATCGGTTAGGCGGGCCAGACCCCAGAAGCCCTGGCAGAGAGACCCACACTGGTCAGACCAACTCCCTCACTCCTGGTCTCGGTGGCACCTAGTTCCTAGGCCACCGTTTCTTCTCTGACCCCAGCCTAAGGCCGTGCCCGGCTCCTGGGATGCAATCCCTTGGTCCCAATGCCTGAATCCCGTGTGCCCGGGCCGGCTTCATGGGTGAACAGCTTGTGCAGTCCCACAGAGCCCCATTTCCAGAACCGCACACTCAGCTCAGTGCTCTGCAGCTGCCCTCTTGAAATTACTAATGATTTCTACACTGGGGGTCTTGCATTTTCACTTTGCAGAGCCTTGCAGATACAAAGCTGGTCCTGGCCAGACGCCTCAGAGGACATCCGTCTTGGAAGAGTCCAGCTCTTTTTCCAGGACGGCAAATCATGCTTTGTTCCTCCCGGGTCCAAGCCTCATGCCGCCTCTCCTGGGTGTATAATTGTGGCGTCTCACCCGGCTCCCCTTGCAGAAGGAGGACGAAGCCCACCAACCTGGGCGTTTACTCTTCTGCTCCCAGGCCAGTAGCTGGTTGGTCGAGATGTGAAAGGCTGGCACAGCTGTGCAGTGTGGTTTGTGACCCACAGCCTCCCCGTAGATGCGGCCGAGCCCGGGCGCTGAGACCCTAACCTAACCCTTCCCTCTTCTGCTCCCTTGTCGTTTTACAGGTCTTTTCCTGAAGTGCACATCATATCCATGAGGGCGGGTGTTTGACCCAGCAGTTGACATGCTGGGTAGGACACCCCTAGCCCCCATCAGAATGTCTGGGTTCAAATGAATAAATCCTGGCCGGCAATGTGGCACAGTGGGTAAAGCTGCCACCTGTGATGCTGGCATCCCATATGGGCACCCGTTCATGTCCCAGCTGTTCCACCTCTGATCCAGCTCCCTGCTGATGGCCTGGGAAAAACAGCACAGGGTGCCCCAAGTGCTTGGGCCCCTGCCACCCACATGGGAGACCTGGATTGAGTTCCTAGTTCCTAGCGTTGGCCTGGCCAACTAGTTCCTAGGGTTGTGGGCTTTTGGGGAGTGAGCCACCAGATGCGAGATTTGTCTCTGTGCCTTTCAAATAAATACATAATTTTGAAAAAGATCGCCTAAGGCCTGGCTCAGGCCCTTCGTCTAAGACAACGGGTTAACTTCAGAATCTTTTTCAATACAGAACACCAGACTTTGAAAATGGTAAGTTCACCACGTGGTCTACCACAAACATTTTGGCAAGGCACTCAGGCTCTCTGGTGACAGATAAGCCGGTCGCCAGTCATTCCAGCTCCACTCTGCACAGCCAGTCCCATCGACGGAGGGGCTGGACTGGGGGAGGAGAGAACAGATTCGAGGACATGTATGGGCCCAGGGAGGGAGGTGGCAGAGCAAGGACAAGAGGCGGCTGGGGGCCTCAAGACCCAGTGGAGCACAGGCAGAGGTCCCTGGTGGAGACTGGAAGCCCAAGCATCCAGCACGTCGCCCAGGACTAGGACAGTCCCGTGTGGAGCCTGCCCTCCCCAAGCAGCACAAGGTGGAACCTGCCGGGGTGGGGGAGGCAGGTGTGTGCTGGCACCCGGAGGGAGGCTCAGGGGATGCGCTGCCAGCTCAGGCGCCCTCCAGCCCGTCAGGACGGAGAACCTGGCCGTGCTCGCTGGCGTGCGCCCCGCCTGTCTGCAGGCCTGGGGAGACTGAGACAGTCTGGGTCTGGGCTATCCTTCCACCCAGGGAAAATGGGCAGGGAGTTGGGGGGGGGGTGCAGCACCAAGCCGTCCCCCCCCAACACACAATCAAGATGTAGGTTTCAGAGTCACCCGTGGGCTTGAATCTCAGTTCCCCCACTCTGGGTGACTTCAGAGTCCTGTCCCTTTCCTGAGCCTCAAGTCACCCGCAAAATGGGCCCGCTGACCATGCCCTGCCCCCCTGCAGGCTGGATGCGAGAGAACACAAGGACGCGTCATCGTAGCTGGCTCAGCACCTGCTGCTGATTTATACCCGACACGGCGTGGGGAACGTGGCTGGCTCCGTGTGGGCACTCCCACGGAGGGCGGGTGAGGGAGAGGTGAACCCCTGGGGTGGAGGACAGAGAAGGGGGCAGGCAGAGAGAGGCCCCACCTCCAGGCAGGTTCCCAGGGCGCCCTGGGGCCGGGCGGAGGGCAGGTCAGAGCTGAAGAGAAGGGAGGGGCCATCGTCCCACCCGCACAGCAGCAGGGACATCAGGCTGGGTCCTCTGGGGTTTCAGACCCAGCTGTCATGGAGCTGCTGCCAGAGGGCTACAGCCCCTCCCTTCTCATCACGGGGTTATCAAAATACCTACAAACTGCGGAAGTTCTGTAAAAACGCTTTTCTGCATGTATAAAAAAGAGGCTGGGCATGGCCCATGGCTCAGGAGTGGCCCAGGAGAGCCGGCTGTGCTGCCCCTCTGGCCCTCACCCCGGGGGTCGTGGGCAAGCTGGTCTGGGCACGCCTGGTGGCCGAGACAGAGCTGGCCCGGGGGAGCTTGTGTTCTTTGACTGCTGGGCAGACCTCCAAGGAGTTAGAAGTCGGAGGGGCACCAGCCGTCTTGCAGGGCCCCGGGTTCAGGGCCAGCCTCAGCGGGGCTCCTGGCTGGAGGCAGGGAGACACGCCCAGCCCGGGCAGCTGGCGCCGCCGTGAGTCCCTGCCGGGGCTCCGGTGTCCCGTCACGAGGCCGCCGCGTGGGCTGGGAGCACAGGGGTGAGTGCAGTTTCCACTTCTGAAAGGGAGGCGCCGCCCAGAGGCTCTGGAACGTTGTGTCCACCGGGGACGGCCCCAGCCGGGGACATCGGGCACAGCAGGGCACGTGGCCGGGAAGAGGGCTCCAGACAGACGGAGTGCTGCCCGGGCTGGGGCTCCTTGAAGTTTCCTCTGGGAGTGGGGTCAAAGCAAGGACAGCGCAGCTGGTGAGGACCCGGGCTGTGTGACTGGGTGGGGTGAGGCGAGGCCCAGGGAGAGCGCCCCAGGTGCATTCTGGGGAGCTCCCAGCAGCTTCCAGAGCCAGGTGGGTGGGCAGGGGCTGCTGCTGGTGGTCCGAGCTAGGGGTCCCCCCACCTGTGTCCCCGCGTCCCTCCCCATGCCACCGTCTCCGGGGCAGAGCTAGGGCCGCCACCCTTGGCTGACTGGGAGCCGGGTGGGGGCTGCAGACCCGGCGCCCCGAGCTAGGGCTGGAGGAGGGGCAGGCCGCGCCGCAGCCCCTCCTGCAGGAAGCGCAGGTAGGTGGCCGTGGACGGGTCTTCGAAGGTGGACGAGAAGCGGAAGACGTTGCTCTCCACGTCCTCGGGCTTCAGGGCGGTGATGTCCAGGAAGTAGTTGGCGTTGATGTGGTGGACCTAGGGGAGGGGCTGGGTGAGGAGGGCCCCGGCTTGGCCACTCTGGGGCGACAGTGGAAGGCGGTGCAGCGACGGGCTGTGGCCCACCCCGACCCCGCCGGCCACCCTCTGTTGCCTCTGCTCCCGCAGGGCCCGACAATGATGGAGCTCCTCCCCACCCCGGCCTCAGGGCAAAACCCCAGTGCCTCCCATGTCACCTTCACCACCTCTCTGACCCCCACCGCTCAAAATGGCCTCTGTCCTCCGTTCCTGCGCCCCTGAGCTCCATGACCCCTGCTGCCCACGTTCGCCAGGGCTGCTCCCCCAGCTGCCTCGCCGCAGCCAGCTCATTTCGCCACCAGCTGCCCCTCGTCACCGTCTGCTACTCTGGCCCCGTCCCGGAGCCTTTGTAAGCCTCCCTGTCCCTAGAGATCCTCTGCCTCCCAAGGCTGCTGTGAGGCCCCCAGGAGAGACGTGGGTGAGGCCGCCCAAGGGGTCCTCAGGCAGGGGCGGGCCTTGAACCCTGGCTCAGGCTGGGCCCGCCCCTGGGGCACCCTGCCTGGCTCTGCTCCCTTCCTTCCCAGGGCTGTGCTGACTGGCCCTGGGCCGTGCTGGCTGCTGCCCAGGGAGTGGTGAGAGTCGCCCTTCCCGCTGGAGCGTCCCCACGTATGGATGTGAGTGACCGGGCCCAGGCTGGTCAGGAGACTAGCTCAGGGCTTCGCAGTCAAGAGGAGGCAGCGCCAGACCCGAAGCTGGGCGAGGCGGGCGCGGCTGCGGCCCGCGGGCCGGTGCGGGGGTGCCTACCACGGTGCCGTTGGGCAGGCAAATCATCATCTCCACGGGGAAGCTGTACTTCTCCAGGTGCAGGCTGGCCAGCTCCCGGTGGGACGGGTTCCCCTGATTGTTCTGCGGGGACAGGGGCGCTCCTGAGCTCTCCGCCCCAGGCCGGACCCGGGCTCCTGCGGGGCTGTCCTGTGCACCTGCCCGCGCACCTGCCCGCTCACCTGCAGGTCCTCCAGCTCCTTCACCAGGGACCAGGTGCTGACGAAGCTCTCGTTGAGCAGGGTGAGGACGGGCGAACTTTCCAGGACAGTCTCCCGGAGAGTTCGCCCCGAACCTGTCCAGAGGGGTGGCAAGGGGGTTCCATCAGCAACAGTCTGGCTTTGGGCAAGTGTCCGGGGCCCCACAGTGGGCCCTGCCCCGGGAGACAGACAGAGCTGCCTCAGAGTAGGCGGGGAGCAGCTGGTGACCACAATTTGCCTCGGTGCCGTCCTGGATTGCAGGGCGGAGGCGTGGGGTGGGGGGTCTACATGACTCAGGGATCTGTAGACAGCTACAGCCCCTTACATCCATGGACCTCTCTGTGCCCCAGGGCCTTTGCACAGATGGTCCCTCCACCCAGAACACCCTCCTGTCACTTGACAAACTCCTACCCAGTCCTTTAGGGTCTCCGCTGAAAAGTCACTTTCTCTAAGAAGCCTTCCTCGATGCCCCAGCCACATCCGGCGCCACTCTGGCCTCGTGTGACACTCACCTCGCCTGCACTTCCTCGCTTAGCGTCAGCCTCTGCACCACACTGTGCGCTCCCTAAGTCAGGGGCCCCCCACCCCCCTTCCTCATCCTGGTCGGCAGCAGGAGCCCAGGACCTGGGACTGGCTGGCTGCGGGCACTCATCTCTGTGCCCACACCCGACACCCTGAGGTCTCCGGGGCCGCGTCTGCTCCGGCCTCTGCCCCTCCCCCTGACCACGCATGTGTGATGCCCTAGAGCGTGCCCTGTCCCTTCTCACGTGTGTGCAACTCTCTCAAGGGTCAGGCTGTGCTGCCACCATCCTCACAGCTCTGGGGGCCAACTCCAGTGTCCTCTGGGAAGACAGCGCAGGCTCAGGGTGGGGGTGGGGACAGTACTGGCTTTGGGGGGAGGGGAGCCAGCACAGGCTGGGGGTGGGGGTGGGGACAGTACTGGCTTTGGGGGGAGGGGAGCCAGCGCAGGCTGGGGACGGGGTGGGGGTCACTCTGTCAAGGTCGCCAGGCTACAAAGCGTGGGGTCTGAGCCTAGTCTGCCCCTTCTTCTGTGTCCGGAAGCTTCCTCTCCGCACGCCCCATGCCCTCGGGACTCTTCCAGGAGAGTGGCGCTGGCATGACGTGACAGGGCTGAGGGTCCCTGTCCCCCCTCACCTCAGCAGGACTGGTCGTCCAGCGCCCCCCACAGCAGGATCGAGTGCACCAGCCTCTTCTCGGCCTTGGCGCGGTCGAAGGCCTCAGTGAACGGCAGGTAGGTGACCTGGAGCCGAGCCAAGGTGGGCAGAGCTATTGTGTGTGGCTCAGCCCTGTGAATGCACAGTGCGTGCGTGTGTGCGCGTATGTATGCGTGTGTGTGTGTCTATGTGTCTATGTGGGAATGTGCGTGCATTTCTAGGGATATGTCTGTGTGGACGCATGTGTGTCCATGTAAGCACACATGCATCTGTGTGTGCGCATGTGTCTCTGTGTGTACACATATATAAGTGTGTGCTGTCTATGTATGCATGTGTGTCTCTGTGTCTCTGTGTACACATGTGTTTGCACGTCATTATAAATGTGGGTGTGTATAAGTACATGTGTGTGTATCCATGTGTCTCTGTGTGTCTGTGTACATGTGTCTGTGTGTGCATGTCGTTATAAATGTGTACGTCCATGTATGTGTGTCTGTGAGTACATGTGTGTCTGTGTATGCATGTGTCTCTGTGCACACGTCTGTGTGTGCACACCTGTATAAGCATATGTCTATGCACGTGTATCTATGTAAGTACACGTGTGTCCACGTGTTTGGATACACATCACTGTGTACATGTGTGTGTCTATGCATGTATATCCATGTAAATACATGTGTGCATGTGTACATGTCCGTGTGTGCACATGTCTCTCTGTGCATGCACATCTGTATAAGTGTGTTTATGCATGTGCCTATGTAAGTACACACATGTTCATGTGTGTATGCATGTGTCTGTGTGTACACACGTCTGTGCATGCACATCTGTGTAAGTGTGTGTCTATGTGTGTGCCTATGTAAGTACACAGGTGTCTGCGTGTATGCGTGTGTCTCCGTGTGTCTGAGTGTGGGTGTGTGCATGCCGAGGGTGCTATTGAGCAGTGTGTCCCTCCAAGTTCTAAACAGCACAGGGAAGGCTCCCCAGGCAAGGCCGGGCCGGCAGGTCTTCAGCCCCCGTGCCCACTGGCTGCTCCACAGCTCCCCGCCTCAGCCCCATGTGGCTGTTCCGGCCAGCACGCCGGCCCCCTCACCTTCTTGAAGGGGTACATGGCCACCTCCAGGCGCCGGGCGGCCTCCTCCCAGCTCAGCTCCTGCTGCCACGTGATGTCCTCAAACACAAACTGCAGGGGCTCCCCCGAGGGCAGGCGGCTGGCGACTAGGTTGCCATCCTCGTCCAGGATCACAGAGGGCACCGAGGGGCCCGTGGCCTCCAGCTCCATCTGGGCGGGGGTCGGGGGGCGTCTCAGAGGCCCTGAGAGGCCCTGCGGCGGGGCCTCCGGGGCGGGGCCGCCTGTGTGCTCACCTGCGGTATGTAGCCGATGTCCACCTCCATGCTGCTGCTCTCGCTGGCCCCGTACAGCCACTCCATGTCCACGTTCAGAGACCTGGGGTGGCCGGGGCAGAGGACACCCTGTGTCAGGCTGTATCTCGGGAGCACAGACTGTCCCTGACGCTGAGGCTGCGCCAGGTAGACCCGGGATCTCACTGCTGCCAGACTCTGACCTCAGAGCCTGGGCCCTTTCCTCTCCCCAAGGCGCTCGAGCCACATCAGCCTCCCCCGGCCATGCCCTTGACAGTTCACAAGCAGCTCTCCCAGCCAGGTCTCATGCACAGCCCACGAGCCTTCGAGGCTGTGAGACGGTCAGGGCCATGGTGGGGCAGGAGTGGGTGCTATCCTCGCGCCACTGCCTCGCTCCACAGCCTCCCAAGGACAGCAGGAGTGGGATCTGCCCAGTGCAATCTGCAGATCCACCACTTGGGGGCGCTCCAGGACTGACAACCCACTGCCTGGGGCTGGGCGAGGCGGAGTCTGGAGCTGGACCCTGGAAGAGGTGGGTGGTCCGTGCAGCCAGGGTCTGATCACTGGCTGATCCTTTTGTCCTACCCAGTTCAGGAACCCCCTGCTCAGTGCCCCTGGGTTGCAGCCCGCCTCCCCCAGCAGGGTCACACCTGTGATTGGGCACAAAGAGGCGGAAGTCACGGACATGGGTGGCGTCCTTGGAGAGGATGATGTGGCCAGTAAACTGGCCCGGGGAGAACCAGAAGGGGAAGTCGGGCGGCTCGCTGAGCTGGAACTCGGCATGGATCCTGTGGGGAAGGGGTCTGCTGAGCCAGGGTGCCCCCAGCCTCCCCTAGCGCCTGTGTGTGTGGGGAGGGCTGGGTTAGGGGGCAGGCAGCGGCGCGAGGCCTGCCATACGTTGCCATCCTTGGGGGCCCAGGTCTCGGCACCTCCGCCTGGAGCCTTGACCCTCCCCTGCTCTCCCACGGCCGCTGCAGGGCGTTCTGGGTGGACGACACCTCCGTGTGGATGACACCATGGCGGCCACCAGCCCCCCACATTTCCCTCTGAATGCTTGTGTGGCGCTATGAGGGTGTCACCAGCACCCTGACCCACAGCTGGGGAACTGCGGCTGAGGCACCAGGACAGCTGAGTCGGGGTGCTGGGGGGCCCTCCCTCCCTCCCTCCTCCCCTCCCCCCCCCCCCCCAGGTGCCCCAGGCCCGGCTGGCGGCCGGCTCACCGGAACACGACCGTGTAGTAGGAGTCGCTGATGGCAGTCAGACAGGCCACGGCCCCCTGCGGGGCGAAGCGGGTCTTCACGAAGGGGCGCGGGTGGAACATGCTCAGGAGGCGGTGGATGATGACCTGGGGAGGGGTGCAGACCCCAGACTGGCGTGTGGGCTCCCTCCGGGCCTGGGGGCCCCGGGTGAGGCTCAGCCCTGGACTGAAGGCCCAGGGGCCCTGGGATGGTGAGGGCGGAGGCCCAGCGGGAGGCGGGGGAGCTGCAGGAGCAGGGGTCAGGACCGCACTGGGCCCAGGCCAGGGGCCCTGGTCTCCCCGCGGCTGCCCTCACCTCCTTGCCTTTGGGCGGTGGGGGGTAGAAGCGGTTGTTGGACAGGTAGCCGGTGAAGACGCTCAGCTCGCTCGGGATGATCCACCAGGGCTCACCCAGCTCCTGGCCCCGCGGCGGCAGGAAGGGCTGGAAGTGGCGGGCCGCAAACACAGCGCTCGGCGAGGCTGCAGTCGTCCAGTTGCGGAGGCCCGACAGGGCGAGGCGGGAGACCTGGGCCAGGAAGGGCCGGAGCTCTGGGCACTGGGCACCAGCACGCAGGCGCCCCGTCCCAGGTGTGGGCAGAGGAGGCAACTGAGGGCATGGGGGAGACTTTCGCCGCGTGCCTGGCCCTGTTCTGCCAGAGAAGCCCCTGTGGCCATCCCTGGGGCCCAGCAGGTACAGCCCCGGCCGCAGCAGCTGCTCCAGGGCAGGGCAGCCGAGGGAGCTGGAGGGGCCCAGGACTGGAAGGGGGCAGGGGGGTCATCTCTGTGTCTCCCTGCAGCCTTGCTTTCGGCTCCCTAATCCCCGTTTGGCTTGAAGAGAGAGGCAGGTGATCATCTTTGGATGGAAGTCCCTAGGGCGAAGAGCAGGACGAGGCCACAGGGCAGGGGAAGGCAGCCACTGCCTCAGTGAGGCCTGGGCCACCCGACCCGGCCCCTGGAGGCACCCTGGGCAGAGGCCCTTCCTGCTGATGAGCTGGGGCTCAGAGGCAGGGCCCGGGAGCCTCAGGGGCCCCTGGTGACAGCTGCGCCTCCCATGGCTCCCCCCTACCTAGGGACAGGGGGCAGGGGCGGAGGGTGGGGGC